TATCTGCAACAAATCTATGTTGAAGCCTCAATGCCCCATCAAGGCCACTCTGTACAGTGTTGTCCCTAATCTAACAAAGTGTCCAAATTGGGACATGCACAGCAATAAAAATATTAAAGGTAGGTATGCCTGGAGGTAACCCTCCATAAAGGTGTAGATACACACTAAAAGTCTAGCACAGCACACAGACAGCTGAAGACCTCCAGTGTGTCCCAACAATCATTAACTAGCTTTTTTCAGGGCAAGGTGAACATTTCCAGCACACTTACCAGCCAGTCAACAAAGGAATTCAGCACGGTGTCTGAGTGTCCCAGGAGAGGGTAGCATAAATATTTTGGTGGAGATGGTGACAGTCACAACCAAAGTAACTAACACTTAATATCCTGTTCCACACTATCACCCAAAATCAGTGTAGTTGGGTATGTGGCCAAAGGTGGCACCATATAAATCTAAAGCAGAATGTGGCAGTGTGGCTTCCACATAGATTTACTCAAAATATATACCTCCAAATAACACCTCTGCTTTTACTACATAGTGCTTAAGGAGTGCTGGTTATTTCCGCTTTAGATGTATATGCCACCATTGACAGTTTAAATGTTTGAATTCTAGTCAGGGTGGCTACCATTAAAAACAGTGGATGAGTAAGCCCAGGACAGAAAGTGTGTTATTCACAGGATTTCCAGGTGAAAATAGAGGAAACAAAACCTAAAAAAAGAAGAATGCAGTCATCTCATCTAAGGACTAGTAAGCTGCAATATATTATATTTTTGTTTTTATGTGTAGATTCCATTTAAATATACACATAAAATAGTGCAAACCGCTGTTTTGATACTTTGTCTTTGGTTCCCTAAAAGGCATCCCGAGAAAGCTACTTGCTCTTGTATGGCCAATTTAGGTGCATTATAGTATTTGAGCCCTTGTTATTTGTATGCAGATATAAGTGAATTTAAATAACATGGAAAATGGTGAAAAGCAGTATTGCATCTCTTTGTTGGCTGTGCATTGTTTGTTGTCATGCATCAACTAGCAAAGCACTGTGTATGCCTGGTAAAAAAAAGAGATTGAAGAATATTTTATAAACAGTCGTATCTACAGTCATTCCATGGTAGTGTATACATTTTGAAGATTCTCCACCAGTAAAGTTGATATAACAAAATATCAGAGAGATCACTGCGCTGGGAATGCGTGCCTAACTACCTGATTGGACCAGCCGCAACAATGTGTATAGGTGAACAAATGTAAAGCAAATATGTTGCGCTCGGTCTATGTGAACCAACTACACACTAAAGTGTTAATAAACAAATCTGTGTAAAATTACGACAATCCGTCTGAAAAAAATGATGCTAGTGGATTATTTACATATGACTAGAAGGTTCAACACACAAACATAATAAAAATAATACAAATCAACACTGGAACCTTCAGAATTAATGCCAGTGATCAACCTCATTGGTTCGGCATGTATATCTCAAAAATGCGAACCTCTGGCTAACGGTGTAGTAAAACAACACAGAAAACTTACATTTAAACCGTGATATTAATTCAAGCTGTGAACAAACTTTGAGAAGGAAGGAGGGGCTCTGTGATGGCCCTCCAATACTCCTTAAAAAAAACAAAAAAAAACGTGCAAATAAATCAAAACTCTAAAATAATAACAGCAAAGAAACTGACATTTCAAGGGGCATGTATCATTACATGCATATCCAACGAACAGCACTTAAGAAAGGGCAACTTCCCTCTCTCAGTGACACTTGGTCAATCTGTCCGGCAGTCCTCCAACCATTCACTGACAATTCCCCAAGAGGGGCTCCTTGTTAAAAAGGTCTTTTAAGTTCTGTTTTTTTCAACCCCTTCTAATGTCTCCTTGTCAAGTACCGGCGTGGATCTCTCCTTCTCCTTTGGTCACCTGATCACTCGCCACCCGGAATAGCGGCGTTCACCTAATGGTGTCCCACAGGGAAAAAATTGATGGAGACAAAGAGGAGGCTATCTAATAGTGCAGTAACACAAATATTTATTTCATAAAAGAACTCAAATGCACTTACGGAAACAACGAACAAAATCGAGCTTTTGAGCGTTAACAGCACTCAGCTAAGAGAGATGAAGGCAGGTTTTCCTTTGACATGTTTCGTTCAATGACTTTCTCAAAAAGGAATCCCGTCTTTAGCTCCCACTAGTAATTTATTTAAAAACTATCCAATCTCTGTCTGTCAATTACAATCAACAACATCGATTACACCTGGTCGAAATCTCCACATTCTGGTACAGAATAAGCTCCAATTGGGCTATATCCCAATAGGAGATAACGATAAATGTATAATGTATAACTGTAGGAGCTTGTGCCTTTTAGTAATGCATAGCTCTACTGTGCTGGAATTCCACAAGTGTATCCAATGTATTAAATCGAATAAGTCAAATGTATTTGGTGTGCGCATATAGACATTACACACCAATACCTATAATTCTATTTTCTTCTGTGTGGGGAGGTTTACGATATAAAGTTCTCCATTAACAGACTTAATAGTTTTAAAACAACACTATATCTAGCATGTTAAAATAGAAGGACTAAATATAAATCAATAGGCAACAATAATTATATTTTCTTCTGTGTGGGGAGGTTGATATAGCCCAATTGGAGCTTATTCTGTACCAGAATGTGGAAATTTTGATCAGGTGTAATCGATGTTGTTGATTGTAATTGACAGACAGAGATTGGATAGTTTTTAAATAAATTACTAGTGGGAGCTGAAGACAGGATTCCTTTTTGAGAAAGTAATTGAACGAAACATGTCAAAGAAAAACCTGCCTTCATCTCTCTTAGCTGAGTGCTGCTAACGCTCAAAAGCTTGATTTTGTTCGTTGTTTCCGTAAGTGCATTTGAGTTCTTTTATTAAATAAATATTTGTGTTACTGCACTATTAGATAGCATCCTCTTTGTCTCCTTCAATTTTTTCCATTAGGTGAACGCCGCCATTCCGGGCGGCGAGTGATCAGGTGACCGAAGGAGAAGGAGAGATCCACGCCAGTACTTGACAAGGAGACATTAGAAGGGGTTGGAAAACCAGAACTTAAAATACCTTTTTTAACAAGGAGCCACTCTTGGGGAATTGTCAGTGAATGGTTGGAGGACTGCCGGACAGATTGACCAGTACATAGCTGCAAGGGAACAAAAGAGGTGATACCACTTATTAAACCAGGCCATATGTTTGTAAATATTTGTGGGGAAAAAATCTCAAATCTCTAAAATGTGCATTTTTTTTTTCATTTGATGCCACCCAAGTTACTTTGGGAATGGGTAACTCTAACATATATATGTGGAGTTACTTAACACATTTGGACGGCAATAGCAAAGAAATATACATTTAGGGCTTCCTTGCTATCAATGAAAGTTAGTCATTCTAAGTTTTAAATAGACCTACTGGTTCATTTAGTCTAACATGTTACGCAAGTGGGGGAGCAGGAAAAGTTTGGGGAATTGCGGCAGTGGGAAAAACTCTCTCATGGCATACTGTATTTGCTGGCATATAAGACGACTCGGCGTATAAGATGACCCCCTACTTTTTGTGTTAAAATATAGGTTTTGGTCTATACTCGTCGTATAAGACGAGTATAGCCCCAAATAATGTTTAAATGCACCCACTAACCTCCATGGCGGTAGTCCCGAGTGTGGCTCGGGGTTAATTTTCAGTACCATAAGCGGTAACCCCGAGCCACACTCGGGATTACAGTCTCTTACCTTTTCCATGAACCCCGCAGCGTCCTTCATCTTCCGGGTTCCGTCCTCCAGCTACATACAGTATATCGTGCTGAGCCAATCACGGCAGGCTTTGCATTCATTAATACAGGATTTGTATTCATTAATACAAAGCCTGCCGTGATTGGCTCAGCGCTGAGCAAATCACGGCAGGCTTTATATTCATTAATACAGGCTTTGTATTAATGGATACAAAGCCTGCCGTGATTGGCTCAGCGCAGTATACTGCATGTATCAGAAGTATACCAGGCGATCAGACCGAGCTCTTTTCAGGATTACAGTATTGCACTCACCCTCTAACCTGTTATACTGCTGACCATAGGTATGGTGCGGGAAAGGGATGTATACCTCCGAATTGTATTGTTTATTTTGTTATTTTTCTTTACATGAGAGGCAATGCCTGTTAGCCAGGGTAATTACATTCTATGAGGGTTACATATATTTCCTCTTGTTGGAGGCCTAACACTGCAGTGGGTTTAACGGTGCACTGTTGCTTGCTACACAATGTATACTTTGGGATTAGGATTTGGGCCGCATGACCTCTTACTCATTGTTTCATGACTTTGGTCACTTCTGTACTGTCTGTTTATAAAACTCAATAAAAATTGTCAATTTGAATAAAAAGAAGTATACCAGGCGTATAAGATGACCCCCGATTTTCGGGCAGTGTTTTTGGGTCTAAAAACCCGTCTTCCACGCCAGCATATACGGTAATTGTTAATAAATGCACAGTGGAGAAGCAGAGCCATGTGTGCTTATGATGTAATTAGAACCTGTGGTGGAAGAGTCTATCCCACCACCATAATTTACTATAATAATGTGTGGTGGTGGTATACTCATTGTGTATCATTATCTCAAGCATATACAGGTACTATAGTAACACATGGCGGTGGAAAAGACTGTTTAATTTCATCATTACATCATACGTATGTGCAGCTTATGCCCTTTTTATAAAAAGGATGAACAGTTGGAGAGTCTTTTCCACCGCCATATTTTGCTATTGGTGGGTCCATAAGAGTAATTGAGAGTATATTGTATGCACTTCAAGCAACATTTTCCCAGCTACTTTGTACTAATTAGATGAAGGAAAGGGAAGGAGTGGGCTCAAAGAGAAAGCTGATATTTCTACTTTATTTAGTAATTGAGCTAAATGACTTCTCTCTATGTAGTTTTTCTGAGGACAGTTAAGTTAACCCATGTAATTTTATATAGATAATCTATGCATATCAAAAGACTATTTCCTTACCTTTACTCTAACTGTTACAGTAGCAATTCCAGGGGGCATGCTTCCTGCGGCATCAAAAGCCTCAACAAGAAAGACATACACTGCCTCCTTTCCTGTGAATGATTCAAAGTCAAGAGGTTTTAACAGAGATAGCTCTCCCGTTGATGAGTTCATTGTAAACAGCTGCAAAACTTCCTGCGATCTTATCCGATATGTAATATTAGCACCAAGATCAGCATCCTTTGCCTGAAACACAATAAACAGATCAATATTAAAATCAAAGCAGACAAAGCTGGTGAATAAAGCAGGTTGAAGGGCAAGAATAATTGAACCATAGAAATATATGTATTGAGTTTCTGAAAAGTCTCTAAAACGGGTTTGAAGGTTTACAGTTGTTTTTCTCTTTGTTATGGGCCATTTTAATGCATTGATTAGTAGAAAATATAAACAGTTCAGCAGATATTTATCTGAAATTTCTGTCACTTTCACAGTAAGCTTGCCTTTTGCAATCTCTCAACTTGATTAGAATTGATCTTTAACTGTTGTATTAACTTTGTCACTACACAAATCTGAAAAGAAAGAAAGCTTTTTTTTTTTTTTTTTTTTCATTGGTTTTTTTTAGGGTTATATTTTTGTTAAAATACACTGCCTCCTTTCCTGTGAATGATTCAAAGTCAAGAGGTTTTAACAGAGATAGCTCTCCCGTTGATGAGTTCATTGTAAACAGCTGCAAAACTTCCTGCGATCTTATCCGATATGTAATATTAGCACCAAGATCAGCATCCTTTGCCTGAAACACAATAAACAGATCAATATTAAAATCAAAGCAGACAAAGCTGGTGAATAAAGCAGGTTGAAGGGCAAGAATAATTGAACCATAGAAATATATGTATTGAGTTTCTGAAAAGTCTCTAAAACGGGTTTGAAGGTTTACAGTTGTTTTTCTCTTTGTTATGGGCCATTTTAATGCATTGATTAGTAGAAAATATAAACAGTTCAGCAGATATTTATCTGAAATTTCTGTCACTTTCACAGTAAGCTTGCCTTTTGCAATCTCTCAACTTGATTAGAATTGATCTTTAACTGTTGTATTAACTTTGTCACTACACAAAACTGAAAAAAAAGAAAGCTTTTTTTTTTTTTTTTTTTTACAGTGGTGTTATTTGAGGCTACATTATTGCTAGAAGGATGGTTAGCTACTAATGTACTTTTATTGTTTGATGGTCTAAATATGGACATTTTAGGACCAGTCTGCTAATAGTAACATTGTTAATAAACACTTTGGTATAAATTACATTTGTTTTTAAGTTGTCTTGGTGAGGTAGAAAGTCTGGCCACATAATCCACATTACGCACTTGTGTAAATGATGTATGCTATAATAAAGCTACAGATGTTATTCTTTGCACAATCCATATGTTCAACTTTGATGACCAACAACTATGCCATATTAGGGAATTAGAATCATCAGAGCTTTCTCACCATCTAAATGTTTCTCTTGGTTCTTAACATCATCTCTCATCAGCATGTCATTGAATGTTATTTATCAACTGACTGTGAATAGTAGGGAATCAATGAATGGGATAAACAGCTCCTTGAAAATAGCTGACAATGGTCCATGTGTATCTGTCTTCAGAGTCAGCTTAGCTGAAAGCAAGTTAAATCTGTAGGTAAAGCCTATAGCCAGCCAAAATATATATTTTTTTTAATTTGGGGTTGAATGCAGAAGGGTTATAACTCCTGTAAAGCTTTTGCTGCTTATTTTAAAGTGACACTAAAATCAGGAGTTACATCTTAGAAATTGCATTCAAGTACCTAAACTATGGATACTTAAATAATCTCTGAATTGGTGCCGACACTGTCCTTCCTTCTGGAGGGTGGCTACTTTTGTTCCCCATGGTGCCTGTGTATGTTGTAAAGTAGCCACCACTCTAAGCTCGCTCCCTTAATGGACTATATTCACACATTTAGTTTACTAATTTGTTTTGAGATTGTGGACCATCACAGGAGCGATCTTCAAGCAGTGGCTAAAACACACACAGGGACCATGGGGGACAAAAGTAGCCACCCTCCAGAAGGAAGGACAGTGTCAGCACCAATTCAGAGATGATTTGAGGATCTACAGCTGAGTGATATACAAATAAGCTACATTTTTAATAGGATACTTGAATGCATTTTTAAGATTGAATTCCCAAGTTTAGTGTCACTTCAATGTTTTTGTCACCATTGAGGAATTTCCTATTACTTCTTGTCTAACTGGTACTGGAAGAGGGGGAAACAGGAAACATCTCTTGAATAGGGATAAAAACAGCAATAAAACACAGTTTTATAGAAGAGTGGACAGGGCTAGATATTTTATCTAGTTTTTATTGCTATCTGTGTTTCCAGTAGGAAATATAAGGTGTGGCAGGATGTCACTAGGACAGAACACAGGGTGAGGTCTTCACTATGAAGATCCAGACAGTAATTTGAACCCCTTCCCATACTATCCAAACTATCAAAAAAAAAAGAAAAACTAATCTTGTTTGTGATGACTTCCCCAGCGAGCAAGCCATCTCAAATGGGCAGCTGAAGTATATTACTAATTTTTGTAAGCGCTCCCCAGCTTCCAAATTTCAATATTTCTGTTCCAGGGCATCCAGAGGCTGGGTGACACCCGAAGTAGAGACCGGGTGACATCCCGCTGTGACGTCATTGTGCATGCGTGTGACATTGCCGCACGCATGCGCAATTATGTCGTCGCACATGCGCGGTAGTCTTATTGATGCCTGCTGGTGGTCATCTTGGTTATGGACGCCGGCAGAGAGAGGAGGGGACGTTCACCCGGCAGGATGAGGTATGCCACCGGGTCCTCTCCTGACACTGTAGGGCTCTTGGTCCGTGACCGAGTGCCCAACTTCTCATAGGGGGCAATACCAAAATGAGTCAGTAATTTTGGCGTCACCCCTCCAATGGTGGCACCCGGGTGCAGGCTGCACCCCCCGCACCAGCCTTGTGACGAAACTGTTCTGTTCTAAACATGATGCACAAAGTAACTATGACCAAAAAAAGGGAGTGTCTGTAAATTACACTGACTGCTCCTTTGCACTATCGTCAAGTTTTTATTAAGCCATATAGGACCCTAAGTTCCCATTCAATAACTCCTTTAGGCTTTCCTCACCTGGTAGAGCTAGTGTTGATTGGTGCATGGTAGGTTTTATTCTATACATGGTGAATGCTCCTAAGTTTCAAACACTATTGTATATATATCCTCTAATGCCATTAACCTGTAGTGAATACACTCTTTTTAGTCTCCTCAGACTTTTTTTCAAACTTCAATTCAGCATTTCATATTAACAGAGTGTATAAAAGATTAAAGCATCTTGTCTTTCAGAACAGGTTCAAGTGATCATTGTCCAAGCCTACCATATTTACACAACTGTAGTATACACAAGCCAAGGTATCATTACCATTGTTTTGTATGCAAAACATGCTCTTTTCAATTCACCTATGAATAATTGCATTACTACAAACACAAATAATGTGTTCAGGAACAAAAGCAATAAATATCACAATAAATATGATATATTTATATCATAAATATCACATTGAGTAAAATCATAAAGTATTTTACTCAATGACAAAGCATGCAATTGTAAAGCATAGATTTGCACAAAATAAAAAGTGGCAAAGAAAAATCAACGCCCTTTCAATAATGTATACACTTTGAAAGGGTTTTAGCAATTTTCAATTGAAGATGCTTACCCTTCTCTACTTTGAAGACATTGATATAGGCTTTTAAATGCCCTTTTGCAAACTGCTAAGTTGCTGACTGCTAAGTTGGGGGAAATGCCTTCATTATCGCCACATGAGCAGTCTCAGTGTTATATTAATAATAAAACGTTTCCTTGGCCTGAGAACTCTTTAAAAGTATATATTTAAATAATGAAAAAGCCTAACATTATACCACAAGCTCTGGGAAAACTTCTGGGAAAAGTAATAAAAAGCCATATGAGAAACTATGACAGTATTAAAAAAAAATAGTGACTGTATATTAATCACTTCAATACTGGCTTGTTAAACCCCCTTAAATACAAAGCCCTTTTTCAGTCTCCATTGCTGTGAACGTATGACCGAGAATTACTTTGTCAGGCAACACTGTAACCAAATTCATTTTATATAATTATTTGAGACACACAGAGGTTTTTTTTGGTACTATTTAATAACTGTTTTTTGTTGTTTTTTTAACTATATAAAGTAAAAAAGACCAAAAAAAAACATTTTCCTTACTTTCTGTAAAAAAAAATGTAAAAAAATTTCAGAACGGTACCAAAACCCCCTAAATGACCCACTTTTTGGAAAGGGTGATTTGATTTGTTTGCCACAATGTTTTGGAAATAAAGAAACATGCTGGTATTAAGGGGGTTAAACCATGGAGCTTGGTAATGGTGCAAAAGACACAATAAATATACTGGTGATACAGAGAGATAGGCAGAGGTGAAGGGGTTAATGTACAGGTTACATACAGTGGGACGCGATGAAAGGCTTCATATTAAAATGTGAATGCTAATGGTGGTGAAGGTGTTAATACACACATCAGAGCAGGGACAGAATGGAGATAACATAAGCGGGGGGAGGGGGGTGGTTTAACAATTACTTGAAACTCTATTTTGTTGTGTCTTTTGCTGCTGCTGCAGCTTGATTTCATTGGGGATTAATGAATGGATGACTCATTTCAAGGACAGGAAGTTAGATTAAATCTTTCCATAGAGGATACAGACAACAGTACAAACCTCACAGTGACCCAGAGGAAAAGGCGGACACCCCTCATCTGCACGTCTAACAAGAGCCAACTGCCTGTAATGTACGTAGAGTACTATGAACCAGACCCAAAAAGGTGGGCACTCCTCATAAGCACTAGCGCTGTAGCATTACAACTACCCCTGCTGTACAGTAATAGCCTCCGTTTGTAAGTAGGAGTCATAAGTTAGTTGGATGTTTGTAACTCGGGGACTGCCTGTATAAGGGTCTAACACCACATTATGGTGACATTTTCTGTGGATCGGATATACTTTCGTCCTTTTATATGTACTAATCTGGGAGAGTGTCCAGCACTCTGATTCTACAATATTTTGCTCGGTTGTGTTGTAAATATACTTTTGTTTACTAAGAAAAAAATAAAAACAATTTGAAAGATAAACTAATGCCATAGAAACAATCTCAAAGCCTATGGACACATTCCCTTACTTAGAATATACCCCATTCCATGGTGCACCTATGTTCCAAAGGTTTTTACAGGACTAGAAAACAGGACCTCTAGAAAAGTGATCATCTGGCACTCCATGAACCAGATATCCCGCACTTTCTGTCTGGAATACTATAAAACGTTGTTAAAAAGTAATTTTGTCTCATGGGACAAAATAACGTTTTTTTGGATGTATTTTGTCTGGGTTGCAGGAGGAAACTCACATAAACACTGGATAAACACAGAAGTTTAATGCAGATATAATCACCAATATGAACTGAACCAGTACCCCAGCCCTGCTCAAAGTGCTAACTAAGCCCCTGTGCTGCCCTCAAAACAACAGAAAAAACCTACAGAAAAACAATTACCTGTACTTGCAGAAAGATTGTCCCTGTCATCATGTTTTCTGGAACAGACACGGAATAAGAAGCATTTGTAAAGACAGGGCTGTTGTCATCAATATCAGTAACTTTGATTGCAAGAGTTATTGTAGACCGACGAGGATCAGCAGGTGCACTATCTGTTGCCTCCACAATTAGCTCATAATAGTCTCTTACTTCCCTATCCAGCTTTACAGATGTATAAATACTTCCATTGGAGGTGATCCGAAAAACGTTATTAAGATTTCCAAGACTGTAACGAACTTGACCATTGACTCCAGCATCAGGATCGGTAGCCTAAAATGAATAAATATAAGGAGGTTAAAATATACTCATGCATTTACATGTTATAATCCCACAGTCATTGGTGGTTTAACTGCCCCTACCTTCATTATTGGTGGACAGTAGCATTTCCCCCCTCCCTCCCAAAAAAACAATCCCCCAATTATTGGTGGTCAGTAAACTTTAAAATCCCCAATCTGGAATGAATAATGCCTCTGCTGGTGCCTTTCTCTTCATCTCCTTCAATCACACTGCAATCCTCCTTCCTCGCGTTCCTCCAAGATGAAGGGGTGGGCTCTCAGATGTAAACACAGGTAGTGTTTACAGTTGTGATTGTTGTATTTGGCCATCAAAATGCACAGCGCCACTCTGATTGGCTCTATGCATTTTGCCTGTGATCTGTGCTGTCCAATGCTAAACACAAATACATTTTTAAATGTCCATTCAGAATAATCGCTCACCCAAGCAGCTGTTTAACTACAATGGCCAGTAGGAGGTGGGTAAAATATCTAGTATATAGATCATTTTATCTCCTTTTGTCTTTTATAATGTACTTATGTTTGGTAGAACATAAACCTAGGCCTGCAAAGAAATATAAAGCTTGTCAGCAACCCATCTTCTTGTTTGTGTGCAGTAGGCATAACTTAGACATTGTATACTGAACACATTCTCTGATAATGCAAAACCACATACTTGTTGGGAACTAATTTTTAGCAGTACATGCACTTCTGTGGCTTACAGTAAAAAAGGATTATATAGGCATATATCTTCCCTCAACATTTGTAATTGCATTGAGCCACTGTCCCTCTAGTGGCTCATCAACACATCTATATATTTAATAGAATAACAAATGACAGAATCACAAACTTGAAAAAATACGAGTCACATAAACATGACTTCAAGGTAGACAGTTTAATATTAACTCAAAATATGTACTCAAAAAAACACTATACAATCCTAACAAAAAGAAAATTAAATATAGCTTAGCTGATGCTGAACACAATGAACATGACATTTATTTGAACCTAAATAACTATGTATGTCTGTAATTGACACATTGCAGCAGAATTTACTATATACTCAAAATTCAGTTTTGCTAAAGGTCACGCTTAGTTCAGCATAGTGCATAGTTTGATGCAATAAAGATTTACTTAGAACATGCATATTTTGTATTAGTAAGAAAAAATAGTGTAATCTAAAAACTAAGGCTTTTATTGTGCTGTTCAGTACTGGCTTTCTACCAAATGACAATGCCAAAATGTCCTTGTCATGTTGGGAAGGTACAGTCATTATTTTTCACCAAAGTTTGGAAAGCCCAATGACTCTATTTTGTTAGCAGTATAGTAATTCTGCTTCTCTGTTTGGGGCCTCTGATCAATCCTCAGTTTATAATAGTCTAACAAAATAACTGAAAAACAATGCCAACGATTTAATTGCCTTTCTTCGAACAGATACATTAATAGTAATACTGTGAATAATATAATAGCAATTGATTTATACTGCTGTTTGAGAAGCAGCCTTTAGCTCAATATGTTTCTTTATGTCTAAAGAGAAATATCCTAATCATTAAAGGCATACATAAATGCACTAAATCATGCTGTATTGTTAATTTCTTAAATGGACCTCCAAAATAAAAAAATAATAGTAATAATAATGTTAATAATAATAGTATGATGATGATGATAATAACAACAACAATAATGTCTTACCTGTGTAAACAAACCAGCAATTCATTTTAACCTTGTTGAGAGCAGTAAAGATAATTGAAGATCATTGCTGATTGGTTGCCTTATGTTTTTGCATTTTACACATTGCTCTTTCTGTTATTGGATATATTTAAAAGAAGGTTTGCTAAAAATAAAACCTGAGAACTGAAATATTGGTGCAGCCAATGCAGTGGCGTCACAAGGGTCAGTGCGGGTGGTGCGGCCTGCAGCCGGGTGACACCATTGCAGGGGTGCCACCAAAATGACAGTCATTTTGGTGTCACCCCCTCTAAAAAGTCAGACACTCGGTCATGGACCGAGAGCCCGACAGTGTCAGAAGAGAGGAGGGGACCCGGCGGCATACCTCATCCCGCCGGGTGAACGTCCACTTCTCTCTCTGACGGCATCCATCACCAAGATGGCCGCCGGCAGCCGTCAATCAGAAAGCCGTGCATGCGCAATGATATCATCGTGCACGCATGAAGGTGACACATCGGGGTGGGACGCCCCTGAGCCAATGCTGATTTGTTTCTAAATATACCGTTTCAAAAGCTGCTATTTTGATCAAGGCTTCATTACTTAATAAATTACTTATTGGAACAAGTATGTGGGACAGGAGTGTAGACCTTTCTCGCAATGTTAATACAACAGGTTAGTGACTCATCAGCTAGTAAAGCCAGGATCAGGAAGACAACCCCAGACCCACTACCTTTAACACCCTCAGCAATGCTGGATCACACATTTCTACTGTCAAAAGTTCCCTTTAAATTTTTATAGATATGATACAATGTAATGTAGAAAATTAAGTAGAAATATACACATCCCATGTTAACCAATATGTAATTGTTCTTCATTTTGCAATAGATTGCCATATAACTCTTGCATGAACAAAATATGAATATACATTTTGCCTTTTTTTTCATTACACTGATGAAGAAATTATAGATATAATATCATATTGTACAAATTGTATTAACTAAGCAATATAAAATGCAACATCATTACACTTTCACCTAAATCTTTTACCAAAATTCTTGACTATTTTTGCTTACTTTTCTTTTCCAATATGTTTTACCTTGCTTTTCCTATATTTAATATGTGAACTTGGCAAACCATACTATTTACTTTGATCCACCTCCTGTAAATCATTATTTTAATTGGTTCAATCATAATGTACTAATTGTACCACATTAAAACAGTACACAATCTGCACTCCATTGAAGTCTGTGTGATATCATACTGTATATTCACACCACCAGACAACTTCCATAACACACCACAGTATCCTCTAGACCTTTAGGGTCAGAGCCGTCAGGCTTTTTTTGCATCAGAAGTACTTTTCTTCCCATACAAATCTACAAAAATGCAAAAACATCTTAAAGCAGATAAATGCAGGTCAGAATGAGGTCAACTGCTGGTCAAATGCACCGGTCAATTCTGAAGCCTCAAAGCAGCAGCAACCCAAAACCCATCAACACAGGCTATTATTTAAATAAATTAGATCAACAAAAAAAGTTTAGCCACTCTTAACCAATCATAAATGTATCATCAATGAATCAACAGCAAACTGTTTTTTTGTTTGTTTTGTGTATTGGGTGTTAGTTTGAATAGGGAGGCAAACTTAAGTTCATAATTAGCAAGGTAACGGTATGCTATTTTTCTTGCTCTCCATAAAATGTAGTCTAGTAGTACCTATAAGTGCTTGGGATTTTATTGTAAAATGGCATATTTTGCTTTACCCCATTGTTGTACGTCTCTTTCAAAAAATCTAATAAATATTTAATATAAAAAAAACAGTAGAAAGCTGAAATGTGCTTGGCATAGAAAGTGCACATCAATACTTTAACTATGTGGTTAATTAAAAACATAGGTATCCTTTTTAGATTTAGAGTCAAATGTGCCCTAAACAGATTGAATGGACAGTTAAAGAAATAAAAAAGTAAATCTGATGCCAAGACATTTAAAAAAATGTGGATAGTGTAGGGAATGGTAAAATGTTTTGTCATTTTTTCCATCTGTGTTCAATATGGTTGAATACTTTTCAATTTCTGTGAACGCAACATGAAGAGAGAAAAACAAATATCTCTAAAGTGAGTGTTATACTTTCTCAGATAGGATAAATAGAGAGGGTACACAGGGAGCAATGTAAATATCTACCCCTTATCCCTTTTTAAAAAATAAACAAAAAGAAAAGAAAGTTTGGGCTTTAGACATACTTTAATCTAGGCAATATGCATTGAGGCTCAAGTCCTGACAAAACTTTTATTTTCTCCCATGACGCAGTCATGCTCACCAAAATCAAACTAGACATGTGCTCCAGCAAAAAAAATGTTTTGTTTAGTTTTCATTAGAATTTTTCATTAATTCGTTTTTTGGGATTCAGGTCCGAAAGACAATTTGTTTCGGGACTCCGATCAGAGGAATTCCAAATTTTCGTTAGCAGTAGTATGTATACATTTTTGTTACGAACAATTTTTTGTTGCAGCAAAGTGACATTAGATAAAAGAAAAAACAACAACTTTTTTTATGGACAGCAGAAGTGGGGGGG